TGCCAGTTGCCTTGGCTATCTCCAATGTCTGTGCCAGTTAACCACACACAGGAAGCAGCTCTGGGTTAATCTCCAAAGCTGCTGTGGGCAGGGCGGCCTTTGAGATGGCCTAGGGCAATGGCAGGGGGTCACAGGCCAGCAGCACATGTTCTGCCACAAGAGCAAAGACCCTTTGTGTGCCTCCCAGGCTCAATGCCCATCTCTGCTGTCTGTGCCAGTCAACCACGTGCAGGGAGCAGCCTCTGGGTTAATCCCCTAAGCTGCCATGTGCAGGGTGGCCCTCAGGACGGTCTAGCACACTGGTGGGGATCACAGCAAGCAGTGTGTTTTCTGCTGCAAGAATGGAGCCCCTTTGTCCTTCCCAGATTCTGCACCTATCTCTGCTGTCTGTGCCAGTTGACCACACACAGGGAGCAGCCTCTGGGTTAATCCCCTGAGCTGCCATGGGCAGGGCAGCCCTTGGAGTGGCCTAGGGCACTGGGGGGGTGGTCACAGGCAAGTGGAGTATGTTCTGCCACAAGAACGAAGCCCCTTTGTGCCTCCTGGACTCTGCACCGCTCTCCGATGTCTGTACCCATCAACTGCGCAGAGGGAGCAGCCTCTGGGTCTGGGCTGGTTAGCCGCATGCCAGGAGAAGCTTCTGTTAAGCTGTATGGTTGCTGTAGGCGGGGCTCCTCCCCAGCTGTTCTGCAGTAATGGCAAGTCAGTGGTTTCCTTGCAGTGCCAGTGGAGGGGAAGGAACAGCAGACTGCTTATCACTGTGGGGGGGTTCGGAGCTGCACTGCCACCCAGTTGGTTAGGGTGCCTGAAGTTCCTTAAGGTTCCCAGCCTGCTGGGCTGAGTGTGCCAGGACAATTTAAACCCTTGTCCCTTTAAGACTTTTAAAGGGCCTCCTTTTCTTTTGTTCCAAGGCAGACGGCTGTGGGAACCTGTTTGCAGTCATAATCTCGGATTTTACTTTTCTGCTCCTCTAATATCCAGTGCACCATGCCATGTGTATCTGTGCTCCCAGGGCAGATTACTAGGGCTGGTTATTTAGCAGTTCTGTGCTTCTACTCCCTCCCTACTGATTCTTTTCCTCCCACCAGTGAGTTGGGTTAGGGAGTGTGCTCAGGTCCCACTGGGTCACAGTTTTGTATCTTACCCTTTTCTGGGAGATTTTGGGGTATCACAGATGTAGCCTGGCTTGTGTACTGTATCTTCTGGTCACTCTTTTAGGAATAGTTGTATTTGCTGTATTTTCAAAATATATATGGTTTTGGGAGGAGATTTCCACTGCCCTACTCATGCCGCCATCTTGAGAATCTCTCCTCGGGTTCAATCTTAACTTTTTAATGATTTTAAGCAAAGTGATAATATCAATGGTAATGATTATAATAGATCAGTTTGAAGTTTCTCATGTACTCCTATGGGCTTTTCGAATTCACTAGTCATTTGAATCAATTACGTAGCATTTTTAAATTCAAACATGATGACAAGTGTACTTACCCCCTGAGATCCTACACTATCTGGGTAGTCACTGTTACCAGTAACTACACAATGCACAATAATGAACCACACTCCATTCCTCTACAATATTACTTACTTCTCTGATCTAGAGAATTACATTCATTTTCAGAGAAGTATAGAAACCTAATACAATTCTGCTCACTGAAAACTGGTCTAAAGTCATTTTTTCAATTCAAGCAATTTTCAATTCAAATCAACTTTTATGTAGGCTTTATAAGAGCATTGTCCACTACATATTAATACAGGTTTCCTTAACTTTTCAGTTAAAAACTGATGGATGAAATATGTTGTCATTGCTAAGGTGACAATCTTGATAACTAAAAATACAACAAAGATCAAAGTGATTTCACAGATATTCTCTACGTATACTGAGCTCTGTACACATTAGAGTAATTTGTGATATACTCTACTCCAATCATCCTTTGCTTGAGGCCAAAGGTGAGTTCAATTAAAATGCAGTTTCACTGGATGCATAACATAACTTGATTTTCAAATACATTAGCCTATTCAATGGTCATGATAAATACTACAAAGACTTTCAAATTACACAGGCACCTATAAGTCATTATCTCATATAGGACCATATGGGACTATTCATATATAAAGCTAGTTGACTGCTCTGATTTAATTTTGATGATGATATAAAGAGGCCAGTTGTCAAGTTTGACACTAAATGCTTGTCAACAAATAGTTTAAATTCTTAGGAAAGCTACAACAAAAAGAACAGATTGGTAATATCTGCCTGAGTAGCCTAAAAACATTTCAAAGGATAATACAAATAGACTGCTAATGTTACTAAAACTTTAATATTATATACTATACCATAATAAAGATTATTTGATTGAGATGACTAAGAAATAGCTAAGTACATACTGTTTTGGCTCTTTTTACCTCTGTGAAATGGTTCAAGTTATTTTTCTTATATATAATTTTACTATTAAATGCAAAGATTGTCCACAAGAAAATGTCAGGATTCTTTGTTTTCCAATCACAAACTTAACATTAAACAAATTTAATCTGTGAAAATCAAGATTAAAGAAAGAAAACATAACAAATGCATAACTAAGAGTGGGGGGGGAGGGGGTGTGTGCAGTCTAGAAGATTACTTAAAAGCCTCTGAGGCATTTAAATTGGAATAATTTAAAAATAGTATTTACACACAGCTTTTCTGAACTACATTTACTATTAAAAGGCATAGATGCACATTTCCCCTTTTTCCTGTTTCTTTGTGGAAACTGATTCAAAATCTTGGAGACAAAGTTAATTTCCTTTAAAACAATTAATTCATTATAAGTAAATTTTAGAGGGAAAGATAAAAATCCAAAATTAAATTTCATATATTTTTTATTTCTATTTTTGCAACTTATGTTTCAATTTCAATATGAACCCAAAATAAATGAATGGGGTTATAAAACTCACTTTAAAATCTATAGCATCTTAACATACTTTGAACTTTTTAGTCACATATAAAAGGTACACACTACTTAAAAAAACTAGTTACACATATTTTGTGGGTACAGAGATTATTTCCAGATAAACCTTCAGTCAAAAACATTCTACTCTGAAAGAAACAATGTGATGATTTTTTATTTATAAAATTTATTTATAATGTGATAATTCCAAATCATATGAAAACCTTCAATATTGACACTTTTAATAAAGAAAAATAAATCTTTCCTAGGTCTTTTTTTTAGAGTCAAGTGATATGCAAAAAATAAATAAAATATAACTAAGAGATGGTTGGATTAAGTTTTAACTTTGTTCATTAAGCTCTATTAGCTACTTAGTTACAGACACAGTCACCTAATACAGTAATCGTGGGAACACCACAGGGAAGATTTTCATCAGTGACAAAATCACAGTAAGAGCTAATTTGATGTTCTACAGTTTATTTTTATCATATTTTGTTCCATTATTATTTTTATTGTTAATTATCAACATGATCATTTCATCAACAGAAGGCTTGAGTACTATTAGAGACTGATGAATCTTTTGATTTATAATTGTGTTACTTTATGTATAGACATATCACCACCTCTACACAAAAATCAGCTTACTAAATTCCCCAAAGACAGAAATTTGCTAGTAATTAGAGGCTCTCCTTTAGAAGATCATGAACTTCGTTAAAAAGTTTCTTAATACTATTTTTTAAATTACTTCTTTTAGGACATTTAACTTTATCAATTGCTCCCCAAAGTCCTCCTTGACACATGTGACCATTTTGTTTTCTGTCTTGCCCAGAGTCAAATAACATAAAAGACTAGTGTACTGATTTGATTAAAGATTAAATGAATTACTGAATACTATATAGCATCTTGAATAAGCATAATCTGAATTATTTAAAAGTATAAAAAGAATAATGTAAGAATATTTAGAAAAGGTTTTTAACTTTTAAATCAACTATCAAAATGCATATAAATTCTGCCATACTAGGTATAAAATATTAAAGGTACATATCAGTATATAAAATTATTTTAATGCGAAGTGATTTAATGCTTTAGACTGCCAGAAAAAAAATGAGGCTGTAATTCATATTAACAAAATACTCATAAGTGACCAAAAACTACCATACATATATTGCATGTTTCCATGTTTTTTTAAAGACTGTAAGTATCTGTTTGATGAAATTTTAAAGTGGAATAAAATACATTTAATATTGCCTTTGATCTTTAACTTGTAGCCTTATCTCCCAGGTCAGAGGGCACATTATTCAATTTCACTATATTTTGTGTAAAACCACTGTAGCGTTGAAGATGACTTTCAGCACAAATGTCATGGTACTTAAAGCTAAACAGGAATCTAGTTTTTCAGCTTCTTAATTAAAATCATAGTTTAAAATAGGCTGACAATATTATCTTTATTCTTTCCAGTTGAACAGTGACAGAATTTTCACATCTTTTATTCAATCAAGCTTGGCAATCTTTCCACGGCTCTTTTATTTTCTAACACACCAAAAACAATTTCAAAAAGTAAAATACTTACTTGATGTTTTTGTATTTAATATCACAAGGAGTGACCTCTAATTTCTTCTCATTTATGTAATATATAAACCTTACTCAAAAATTAATTTTACTTGCCTTACAGTCTGCTACAAAGAAGGAAGATTATAATAGTATAAACCTTCCCAAGAAGCCCTCTGAAGATTTAAGTGGATATGGGGGAATTTGGCTCAACCAAAAATACAGAAAAAAAAAATCCTGAGTCAAATAGGAACAGAAAGAGTAGCTAAGTAAATATTCCATTAACTGTTAGCTATAAAAATGCAAATATTTTTAACATACTATAGAAGAATGCACAATAAACACTTGTTGAGTGATAAAGGATGAGTACCATATCCCAAGTGTTGCATTCAAATGTTATTTATTAATATTAATCCATGTAACTGGACATAACCATTTTCTTTTTAATATAAATGTTACATTTATATTAACAAAAATACTATGCACAATATAAACTAATCTGGATATGTGTGTATTTTGTAATTTCCTTACCATTTCATACACTTTCTTCTGTAAAGAATATTTAGAAACCTTGAAAAAACAAGAGGAAAATCTCATTAAAATTATGTTACAACTTCCTACTCATATTAAAAATGTATGGTATAGAGTGTGGCATTCATCTTCTATGCACTATTTTTCTCTAGTGACTGTTTTTCAAAATGTTATATACCATAACTTTCTTTATTTTAACAAAAACAATATTCATTTATTTATCCAACATGTAATTATGGAGCACCTCCTACATGTCAGCACTTTCCCAATATCCTGGGATTCAGCAGTGAACAAAACCAAGTCCCTTCCCTGAAGAAGTCTTACGTCTAGTGGGGTACTACTAGACAGACAATGAAATATAAGTAAAAAGTATGGAAGTTAAAGAGTGACAACTACTATGAAGAAAAATGAAGTAAAAGAGTAACAAAAGCAGTCTAGGAGAGCTTGCTAGTTAATATTAGCTTAGCAATCTTTTAAACAAAGATTTTGTAATCTGTTTTTACTTACAAGCCCCTTTCTATGACATTAATCTACAATATAACTTTTTAATGCTTGTAATATTCTGTTTAACTTTATACCACAGTTTACCAAATCACTCCTACGTGATTAACATCTGTATGCTATATGTATTATATACATTTTTATAATAAAATTAAGTAGGGAAAAGAAAATGCTTTTTTAAAATTGTTGCAAATTTCCAAAGTATTTTCTACCATATTTATTGAAAATAATCCAAGTATAAGCAGACCCACACAGTTCAAAACCATGTTGTTCAAAAGTCAATATATTCTGAAATAAACATTCTTGTACCCAAACTGTTGTTATTCCTTTTAGCAGGATAAATTCCAAGAAGTGGAACTCCTAAGATTTGTTCATTTTTATAGACTTTCACAATTCCTACATAGTCCTCTAGAGTGGCTAAGTAAAATTCTAATCAGCCATACCATAAAACTCTTAGAAGAAAACATAGGCAAAAATCTCCTGAATATCAACATGAGCAACTTTTCCTGAACGCATCTCCTCGGGCAAGGGAAACAAAATAAAAAATGAACAAATGGCCCTACATCATGCTAAAAAGCTTCTGTACAGAAAAGGACACTATCAGCAGAACAAAAAGGCATCGTATAGTATGGGGGAATATATTTGTAAATGACATATCCTACAAGGGGTTAACATCCTAAATACATAAAGAATTCACATGCCTCAACAGCCAAAAAGCAAATAACCCAATTAAAAAATGGGCGGAGGATACGAACACACACTTGTCCAAAGAAGAAATTCAGATGGCCAACAGGCACATGAAAAGATGCTCCACATCACTAATTACCAGGGAAATGCAAATTAAAACCACAATGAGATATCACCTCTCTGGCCAGACACCAGTTAGGATGGCCAACATAGAAAAGACTAGGAACAACAAATGCTGGCAAGGATGCAGAGAAAGGGGAACCCTCCTACACTACTGGTGGGAATGTTAACTAATTCAACCATTGTGGAGAGCAATATGGAGGTTCCTCAAAATACTAAAAATAGAAATACCATTTGACCCAGGAATTTCACTCCTAGGAATTTACCCTAAGAATGCAGGAGCCCAGTTTGAAAAAGATATGCACCTATGTTTGTCGCAGCACTGTTTACAATATCCAAGAAATGGAAGCAACTTAAGTGTCCATCAGTAGATGAATGGATAAAGAAGATGTGGTACATATACACAATGGAATATTATTCAGCCTTAAGAAAGAAACAAATCCTACCATTTGCAACATCAATGGAGCTAGAGGGTAATACGCTCAGTGGAATAAGTCAGTCAGAGACAGACAAATACCAAATTATTTCCCTCATTTGTGGAGTATAACAGTGAAGCAAAACTGAAGGAATAAAATAGCAGCAGACTCACAGACTCCAAGAAGGGACTAGTGGTTAACAAAGTTGGGGTGGGGGGGCCAGTAGCAGAGAAGGGAGAAGGGTATTGTGGTGTATCATGATTCGTGTACATGGTGTATGTGGGGTCACAGGGAAGACACTATAGCTCAGAGAAGACAAATAGGGACTCTGTGGCATCTTACTACACTGATGGACAGTGACTGCAATGGGGTATGGGGGGGACTCGATAATAAGGGTGAATGTAATTTCTTGTGAAACCTTCATAAGAGTGTATATATCAATGATACCTTAATAAAAAAAATTCCAACCAGCCATTCATGAGTGCTCATTTTCTTAAACCCTGTTTAAATTTGTTAAATTTTCAGCAAAAACACAGTAATTACTTCACATTTCCTATGAAATAAGTTTTTTAGCAAACTGCCTAGAACAAGCTGATAATTTTAGTTCATTTTGGTGGAATGGGTTCTGTGATTCATATCTTCAACAAATATTGAATGTTTACTGTAAGTAAAGTATTGATGTAGATATTGGGGATACAGTGTTGGACCAAAAATACAAAACAAAACACCTGTCCACCTTAAATTCTGGGCAACATAGGAAAAAAACAATCTAAGTAAGTTAAACTATATGATCTATTGGATATTGACTAGCACTGAAGAAAAATAATAAATTGGGGAAGGGGATTATATAAGATACCCAGGAAAGTCCTTTCTGACAGAACAACTTTTGAATAAACACTTGATAGAAGTGGGGAGAGTATTCAGGAAGTGCAAAAGCCCTAAGGTGGGAAAACACTTCCTGTGTTCAAAGGTAAGGAAGCCAATGTGGCTAGGAGTAATAAGGGGAAGAACAGCAAAATATGAGTTCAGAGAAGAGTGAAGAAAAATTGGATTGGGCCAAATCATTGTAGAGCTTGAAATTCATGATACAGATTTAGGTTTTTACACAAAATTAGACAGGAAGCCACTGAATAGTTCCAAGCATAGATGTGACATAGCCTGACTTACTTTTCTAAAGGATCACTCTATTATGTTAACTCTAAAAGGGAACAGAGGTGGAAGCAGCAAAACCTCCTAATAAACTAGTACAGTAATCTAGAGGAAAGTGGACTAGAGAGTTAGTAATGGGTATAGTGAGTAGTAGTCACATTATGGGTATACGCTGAAGGGAATACTGAAAAATTTCCAATAGAAAATAGGGAGTTATAATTAATGAGGAAAGAAAAGACAAAGAAGTTAGCTACTTTTTGGGAGTGGGGAATTTTATAAATTTGGTTTTGAACATGTCAAGTTTGAGATGTCTTTTAGATAACCAATAGCCAATCCAGACTGGATTTGGGGCTGGACATATACATTTGGAAGTCCTGTGTATTTAGGTCCCATTTTAAACACATGGGACTGGATCATATCAGAGTATTTTTAAAAGGCATACAGACAGGAAAGCAAAAGGGTAAAGATCATCTAGAAATATAAGAGAAAAAATTCAGAAGACTTTCAGTCTAATCCTGAATTTACGATCTACTATTGTGATGGTTAATTTTATGTGTCAACTTGACTGGCCGAAGAGGGCCCAGTTTAAACATTATTTCTGGGTGTGTCTGTGAGGAAGCTTCTGGATGAAATTACATTTGAAAGAGGGGACTCAGTAACGTAGGTCACCCTCCTCTATGTAGGCAGGCCTCATCCAATCTGTTGAGGACTTGAATAGAACAAAAGGCGGAGCAGGGATGAATTTACCTGTCCAACTGATTGAGCTGGGATACTGATCTAATCTCAGACTGGGATTTCTACCGTGGATTCCTCTGAGTCTCAGACTCAGACTGCAATTACACTTCTTGCTTTCCAGAGTCTCCAGCTTGCAGACAGCAAATCATCACATAGCACTTCTCTGTCTCCGTAATTGTCTAAACTAATCCCTCATAATAAAGCCCTTCCTACATATATTTCCTATTCTGTTTCACTGAAGAACCCTCACTAACACAGCTACCATTAGCAGAAAATAAAACTCATACATTTAGAGCAAATACCAAATTCTTTCAGGTCACTGTTCTTAAGACATTAAAACTTCTGCATTTTATTTTTTCTGACTCATGATTCACAGCTATATTTTATCAATACTTCTACAGCATTCTTCAACTTAAAAAACTAGTATGTAGCTACATTGCTATGAAACATAAGAATCTGAAAGTAATATAGAGTGACATGAAATCTTTTTATGGACACTATTTATGATTTTTTTTCCTTCTAAAATCACATAAAATTGAGGTATAATACCTGATATAGACATTTTTCTTATACAATAACAAAATGATACTGACAGTAATTAATGTTACCTATAGAAGGTAATTTCAAAGATAAAGTACAAATTTTTTCCTATTATAACTATCCCTCACTTTATGGAAGATTTTCTGAAAAGCTAACTGTAAAATACATTACTTTACAGCAAACCTTACTTTCCCATTAATTTTCCATTAACTGCATTTATGCTACTTGAGAATAAAGTCCCTCAAAATACAATGTTAAAAACATTTAATTCCTCCTGCCTCCTGAACAATTCGGTCCTAAGTCCATTAGGTGTGGTAGGGCAAGGCAGTTGTCCAGGGAAAAGGAGTGAAGGGGTCATAATGGCAGTATTCCAGAACAGGGTATCAGGCCTGAAAGGAGAAAAAAAGATTTCCCCACAAGACAGAAAACAATCTACTGTGAAGAGTCAGAAGCTGAATAGAGTGATAAGTGTGACCCTGAAAAAGGCAACCCAGCTCAAGATGTCAGGGTCGTAGCAGGGAAAGGAGAGCATCCATATTAGGAAAGAAGGCACAGGAGAATGGTGAACTGGTTTTATACAGGGTAATTTATCAAGTAAGTAAATATGTTAAGGATAAAGGAAGTCATATTTCTCACTGTGAGGGGAGAAAATATATAAATACAGAAAGGAAATAAACTAAAATTAAAGTGGATTTCTCTTGGAAGTGGACTTAACATGAATTCATATTTTTTATATAGAGAGAAAATAATTAAAGTCATAAACATAAATTATACTTGTGTGCACATAAATACATATATTATTCCCTAGTTCTGTCCACTGAGAAGGTCTGAGAAGAGTCATCCCTATAATAATGAGCATTATAGTGCCTAGATCTTGGCTTGCACCTACCA